GCCCCATGGCCGGACCTTTCTGACGGGAATGGGACTGCCATGGATTTGAGAAAGACATAAGCTCTAGACAAGGTAGTTATACGACTCCTGAGTCTGCAAAAAAAAGAAGCCAGGAAAGAAGACATATTAAAGTCTCTGCCTTGGCCAAATTCCAACTCAATTAATTACAATCTGCCTTTTAAAATTCCCCCTGAAGTTTCAGCTAGATAATATATTCTTTCATGCATGTCCTGTGAGGCTGAGAAGTGCCACAGCCCACCGCTGAGCTACCGTTTGCAGATAGCATGGTTTCTGCGTGCAATGCTTGTCTTAGGTCAGGTTTGTGAAGGCCTTGGGACCCTTGAAAATGAGAAGTGCTTGAGAGAACGAAGATGATGAAACCATAGAAAAACAGCGGCCGTCACTTTGCTATAAATCTTCCTGATGTGCAATTTTTTGGTAAATGTGCTCATAAAACCTCACTTCTGCCTTCTAGTGGATAAAAGATAGGAGAGCATGGCAGCAGAAAGAGAAGAGAAAACTGCTGAAAGGAAAATTAGCTTTGGATTCCTCAACACCGTTATTAACAAGCCCTGAAGATCAGACTCAAGCAAAAATCTTGTCATTTTTACTCATAGCAATGACTGTCGCATTCACTTCTCACCCTGACTTCCATTGATTGTGATGATACAAAGCCCAACTCCTCTCTTTTAGTATGAACACAACCCTACATGGAAGGCCAAGGACATGGAAATGTTCACTACCGGGCTGGTTTTGATTACAACAGGTCCTGCCGCATCCACTTCTGGTTATACTACAAATAACTCTGCCACTAATACAGAAAAACCCCCCTTCCTTTCCTGCCAGAAGACCTTGTCAGAAGGTGGTTTTCAAACTAGCAGAAGAAACAGTGCATAGGAAATGCAGATTGCCACACAATTTTTCTGTATATAAGTTTTGACATTACTTTAAATGGTGCCAAAGTTTTGCTCTTCGGCTCAAATCCTCACTCTGCCACTTTGGTTTGTCTTTCGGGGGCTGTGGTGGAACCCAGCCTTGGCTTGGGGTCAGGCATCGCAGGTCTGTGTCCAAGCCTCAGCTCTTATCACATCTTAAGTCCATTAAAACTGCAGCGCCAGGTGAAGGTTAACAATCTCCTGCCTTCTTCCCTTCTGTGGTAAATCACTTACAAATCTTTCCAGTGGACTGTAAAAACTGAAAGAGGTCAGATACATAACAAAAGGGCAGGACCTTAAAAAGACAGTCTGCAGCAATGGTTATGGAGCATAGATTTGGTGTGAAATTGAGAAATCTCTGGTGGCTGTAAGAAATGGGGCAGCAGAGCTGTTTTCCAAGAGAGTCTGCTTGTCTCACCCCCTTCCCTCTCATAGCTTTCCCTTTTTCTACAAGGAGACCGCTTGCTCCAGAATTGGCTTTTGCCACATCCCCATTTGTTCCCCCCACACACAAAGAGAAAGGGCAGGCTGAAAAACTTCTGCTGAGCTCCAGTAATTATCTAGAAGTGAAGTGGGAACGTGGGCCATTTCAAAGATGAGGTAAGTGGAGGTTCATGGAGTTTGTTTATAGAAATTTGGCTTCTGACACTGACTTTCACATGAAGAAAGCACGGTCAGGAGATCCCTATGGCTTTTCATGAGGCTTACATCCAGCCAGGATGCTGGTCTTTAGCCCTGGTGCACCATTGCTTGCAGAGCAAGGCGTCAAGTGCTTGAGTCAAATTTCAAGCGAGCATCACCGAAGCCTCCTCCACCTACCCCGACTTGCAAAGAAGGAAAAATAAGACCAGTCCCTCTGGCCACCTCCACTCTTACCACCTGACACTCACTATGAAAGCTGAGTTTATTCTTTCTATGGCTTCCCATTATATCAGGTAAGGTGATGCTCTCGCTTCTGTCCTTGACTTGGAAACTCTCCCTTCTCCAGTTAAATCTGGGGGTTCAAGTGTTATAAGTAGTGTTGTGAACCTCACAGAAATTTGTTTTCATCTAACGCTTATGCTACCAGTTCAGATTATTTGTCATTGTTCGGGATTAAATATTGGCATGGGATGCCAAATGCTAACATGTATTTGTGTTCCCATGAAGCTGCTGGTCTGAGTGGGCAGTGAGGACTGGAAAAAATTGGAGACTGATGTTTGGGGCCAGGAAAGGTGAGGGGAAGAAGGGTGTTTTTCTAACAGAGAGCATAAACCACCTGGAGGCCACTCAATATGTTCGTACAAGGGAGGAAGAGATTCCCTGGTGAATGTGCAGGTAGTGGTTCAGAGTTCTTCACTGCCTTTGTTAATGAGAGGTATTTGGCTTCTTTAATAAACCTGGCCTTGGAAACTGCGCTTTACAGAGGAAGGACAATGTGCAGCACCTGGTAGCAGTCACGCCACTGAAGGGCTTCATTGGGTTTTATCAATTCTCTGTAGAGGTCCCAGCAGTAATCTTCAGTCACTTTCAGCCAAAACTCTAATGTGATGACAAATTTTACAAACGATGAAAAAGTTTTAAGTTATCAGTACTGAGTTAATAAAATGGCGTTGCTTACTCATCTTCAGAATATGTGATCCATATCTTTTCTTAAGAAAATGAAAATAAAAAATAAACCCTTCACGACAAACACTTCCAAGGTTATTTTTTCTTAACGATCGTCTCTGATGTGCTGTTTGCCGCTAGGGACGTGTACACCTGATGGCATCTCACCTGCTGAGGATAATTGTGAGAACGTCAAAAAGTCGAGGATTGCCTCCATTCCTTCATCATGCTCTCCTTCACTGGCTTGTGCAGGCCAGCAGAACTCAGAGCTCAGCCCCTCTCTGAGATGGCTCCCTACCCCTCCTTCAGCCCGCAGTGACTGTCCCCTGCATCTCAGAGCATCCCTGCTTTGGAGTCACAGGGATGAGCTAAAAATGGATTTTTAAAGCAGCTCTTGAACGCTCTCTAGTGGTTAAAATGGCAAATACTTTTAATATTTTCTATCACCTTTTCAATCCAATTTTAACTGATAAGTCACTCACAATGACTCACGTATCTCCGAGTTTAAAATACTTTAAAATTACTGTTATAATTATTATTAATTTTTATTATAATTTATTATTAGGCATTAGTGTTTTTCACTACGCAAAGTACAAAGAGTGAGTCTAATACCATCCCTGTCCATCAAGTAACATTTTTCTTTTTCTTTGGCCGCCTAACAATTTTCATCCTAGACTGTGTTTGCAAAGGTCAGCGGTCACTGAAAATTCATGTTATCCACACATACGAATTCATTCCTTCCTGCATATTTTCCCACGTATTTCAGGATTCCTTACTTTCTAGAGTAGCCATTCAAGCTCCTCATAGAAGCCCTGAATGTATGTCACAGAAAATGGTAATTTTTCATTTCACAGCAGAAAGCAAAGCTGAGAAAGAACTAGGTGACCCAGTTATGGAAATCTGGCAGCTCCAAGACCAAAGGACAGATTAAAGCAAAGAACATGCCACAGACGGTAATGACAAAATCCTTGCGTTGTTTTTGCATAATTAATAGATCACAAGACGGTGTCCAAGGGAATATTTGCATGAAACATTATTTACATATCTTTTCAAATGTTAATTGCAACCTGTCTTGCAAAAGCAAACCACGCTGGTTCACAGGCACACGTTATTTGAATGGTTTCATTTTTTTGTCTCCTCTCTGTTTACTTAAAGACTGTGTCTTCTTGTCTGTCTGCCTTTCTCGTCACAGTTACCACCTTAATCATCGTCATCATCGGTTTAAACATCAGACTGCTTTTCAAGTAGTCTGAAGCAACTCGGAAAGTTGCTCCAGTAACAATCCTACACAAAAATCCTGGGTCATATAAGGTCCTTGCTAAGTATCGTATCCCCAATACTTATTCCAAATCACGCATTTGGCAGATTTAGATTTTGATGCCGTGTTCCTTCATTGCAACCAATGCTATACATCTCTTATGGCATGAGCCATAATCTGTCAAATAATGGCACTTTTGTAGGCTCTTGAGTTCTGGACCAAGCTAGCTCCTTCCACAGCGCCAAGCACACCCGGCATTGCTCTAAATTACATCAGCCTTCGCTGCCTTCCTGACAGTGATTTCTAGTCCCAAAATAACTGGAATTCAGTGCTCCTCTTTCTCCAATCTCATCTTCCACTTCCAGCTTCCTCCAGCTCGCTCTCGGACCAGGGCTTTCTCCCTCTCCAGCACCTGTCCTACTTACTGCTGCCAACCGCAGGTCTTGGCTCTCGCCTTCAGCTCTTCGGGTCCAACAAGGCCTTCTGTCCCCAAATGGAGTCTGTTACGGCCGTGGTGACACAAAACGAGACTCGGTGGTGGGCCTGTGAGGAGCTGATGCAAGCCTGCTTCCAAACTGCATGTTTGCAAGGAAAACTTTCTGTTAACCACCAAATTGCACTCCCTGATAATTTTTCATGACATTTCCCAGCCCTCATCCTGATGACAATTTCTCAGTTATTAAGTAATTACAACATGATGTAATTAATTTTACTTTCTAATTAGATAATTGTTCTGTCATTGCAATTCTCTGAGTGTAACGTGTTATTATTGCAATATGTTAGTTATTAATGTCAGTGAATTAAAAATATTTTTTTTAAATCCTTAAATCTTGTGTTAGTCCTCAGATAAACTAGGCATGCTACAGCCTCATCGGGGAAAGTTGTTCCCCAATTTCTTATTTCCTCAGTTGCAGTAGGATCTTACCCTGTGTGTTTATGACTTGGATAGCTCTATTGCTCTTCAAAGACATTTATAACCCGTTCATCGCTGGGGTGCTGGGGAATAGAATTGCCCTGTGGACTTGAAGAATTTGGACTCGAAGGGTCCTTAATTTCATGATCGCAAAAGACCTCGTGCCAAAAGTCACCGGCTATAGTCACATAAGGGCTATGAGGGACTGCTCCACAAAGGAAGGAGAGCCAGGAGCCAAGCACAAAGACAGAGTAGGGGCCGTGACCAGAGCGCAATCCCAAGGTACATACGTGGGGCTGGGCTGGTGATGGCGACGGCTTCCATTGAGAAGCCATCAGACAAGGTGAGGGGACAGGTCAGGGTCAAGCCAGGAGGTCCAGCCATGATCAGCAGGGGACAGGGCTGGGCAGGGGCCTTCTGCAACTTAATTGAGGCTCAGTGGTTTGAAAAAAAAACCTATTGCAGCACAGGCAAAAATAAGGGATAACTCTGAATTTATGTAGGTGATGTCTTTGCCTGTTTTTACATGATTTTTATGGCTTGGGGCTTTTTTGTTTTGTTTTGAGTTTTTTGTTTGTTTGGGGATTTTTTGAGCAGAAGCATTTGCAATTCTTTGGTGGAAGAATTGTTCAGCTTCCCTGGGGTGCATATGGCCTTGAGGAACATATTTATGTATGCCTCCAAGAGTGCTGAGCAGTCAGGAAGAAAAAGAGCTTCAGTGCCAGTGGGCACTCCTAAGGACAGCATGCCGTTGAAAGGTAGCTGCAACACCAACGTATTTGGAAATACTTGTTTAACGCAACCATTCATTTTTCTTCAGATAGACCTTTAGCATAAGGTCTGTGATTAGTCTTCCTCAAAATAGCCCAGCTGAGCCTGAAATACTGACTATACTGAAATACTGACTATAGAACTGTCAACCCATCCTTGCTCTCCTCTGGACTGGAGATATTTTATACCTACAGGGATAAAGGCTTTCTGCATTCTTTTCATGCAGGTATTCATTGTGAGATGCAATTCTGCTCACTGTGAGGAAATGTCATCTGTATTATGACTTTATCTTCTAAACAGACAGATGGCAGACACTACAACAGTAGATAGATACATAGGTAGACAGACAGAAAAGTATTTAAATATGGCCCATATATTGTGAACCTTAAAATATACCTGACTTGCATGAGAACTGTAGTTCCTCAGAATCTTTGAAAGACAGGACATTCGTGCTTAAATATGATATAAAAACAACCATAAAACATCCTGTGATTTTCTTTTCTTTTACTTCATGGTGACATTAATAGGATTTAAAGATTTTACAGTGGAATTGTAATGTACAACCTGTATCTGTCCTTTGTTAAGTGCAGAGGTTTCAAATACTGCTGTTGACAGCAGCTTCCAGTTGTTTTAGTCATGCTTACTGAGTGCATTTTTATTTTCCACGTAAGAATATTTTGTATAAGAGGTTTTAAGTATTTCCTGTTCCTTTTTGACTATGCTGTACTGGAAAACAGACATTAGATTAAGAAGTGTAAATGATCTGATAAAGCCTGAGATAAGCGGGTCAGTATAAACAAGTACACAAGAGCCAGACTGCACAGAGTCATCTTCTCATCTCAGTGCACAGGGATTTACACATCAGCGCTATTTTCTGTTTTCACGCTGGGAGAAACTTTGCCATTTGAAAGCTCGTAATAAGAGTTTTTCAGCTGGGAAACAACATGAGAGCAACAAATTGATGTAGCCACTTGCAAATTGAGCTATATACTAGGTCTTTCTAAATTAAGTTAGAGATGCTCTACCTTTATTCATGCAGCGTCCTAAGTGATTGGGAAATAAAGGAGATGAGTAAGCCAACATAAATTTGTCAAAACCAAACTGTGTCAAACTATTTAATTTCCTTCCACGAAGAATATCACATGGACAGAGGAGAAGCAGATGACATATTCTGACTTTAATAAGGCTTCTAATACTTTCTTACACAGCTCATAAGCAAGCTAAGAAAACATGACCTAAATGAAACTACTGTAAAGGGGGTGCAAAGCTAGTCTACTTAAAGAATAATTGCCCTGTCAAAATGAAAGGAGGTATGAAGCAAGGTATCACCGGAATTTGTTCATGTGTCCATGCTAGTTAATATTTTCGTTATGACCTAGATGATAGAACAGAGGGTATGAAAGCTGTGGGGAAAAAAAAAAAAAAAAAAGTCAAATACTTTGGAGACAAAATGTGAAATGGTCAAAAAAAGAGATGAAACTCAGTGTGGACAAGTCCACTGAGGCAGCAATAAGCAACTTCATAAACTCATGCTGGGGGATAATGTGTTAGGCAGTATTTCTGCAGAAAAAGGTCTGGAGGTGCTAATGAATTACAAGCTGAACCTCACTGTACAGCGTGATTTTGTTGCAGAAAAAGCAAACGTCATATCTAGGTGCATGTATCCTGTGAGACACATCATGTAACTGTATCATGATATCACCATTAATAAGGAGTTGGCTGAAGTACTGTATCCTGGTTGAAGCACTCCATTTGAAGGTACCTACAGACCAATCGGAGATAGCATTGAGGAGAACATCAAGAACAGTCAGAGGTCTGATAAACTTCAACTCTATGGGAAGGTTGAAAGAACCGGGGTTCCCTGACCTAGCAAAGAACATTGTGAAGAAATACAACTGTGTTACCATATTGTATTAGAAAGACAGCTTCAAAGAGAAAGGAAAAAAACCATAGTATTTGTGTCCAGGATATGTGGAATGGGACGTAGCAGCATCAACACTGGAGTAACAGAGATTCGGATTACATGAAAGAATTTTCTCTCAGTAAGAATCACGAAGCATTAAAATAACCTGCTTGGGAGGCTGACATTAGCAGTCCATCCTGGGACTAAACTGCATCCTGAGTTCAGCCTGTCCTATATCAGCACTATGGCTCCCTTAAAATAACCAGTCATCCTTCACCTTCAAGTTACTTTCAGATTTACTCCTCCTTTACCTTTCTTATGTATGTGATATGCAGGAAGATTTTGATGTGCCAGTTGGAGAGCATGAGGTTTGATCAGCAATTTTCAGGTTCACTAGGAAACTATGTATCACGAACATGAATAAACTATTAATATCATTAGAAAAAACGTTGTTTTTCTAATGACTATGCATGACCACATCAGCTGAAGAGAAGAAGAGCTTAGACACAAGTTTATGGCAGGCGAAGTGGGCAGGCAGTAGCTGGATCTGGCCATTTGACTGTGAAGAACTATTTAGACTCCTCCATTCATAGATTCATAGAAATAAAGAGAAAAAGTTGGTATTAGACACACCACAAGCCCCACGTTACCCATTCCATCTACAGTAAAATTTGGCCTCCGTCAGGGAGCAGCTGGCCCTGGCTGCTCCCTGACAGAATCTTTGCCCTCCAACTATTGATTTTTATGATACCTTTCAGCACTGGATTGAATATCCTTTCAGAAAGCGCCATTTTATCTCCACAGTCATAGCGAATAGCTTTTTGAAACAAAAAGGACTTTTTGTTTTGAGGTGATTACAAGTTTTGGATGGCAATCACTCCAGATGGTCTCCAGAGGTAGAGGTCTATGATACTTAGACCATGATAAGCCTAAGTTTGACTTACAGCCTTGTGATACCCTCATTTAAAGTGGTGTGATACAGTAAAGTGGCTGACAGGTGCAAAAAAACCCCAAAAACTGAGTAGAAAATTGCTGTTTAGGAAGATGTTTTGGTTGGAGCTGCAGCATTTGTCATAACACGACCCAATATTTTCCTCAACAGTAAGGAAATAAATACCGACTTACTTGATATAATTTACAAATACAAAAAGATGACTGAAAAAGTAAATTAGAGGGAGGACAGGCATAGTACAGTCTGGAGAGTGTGGTAAGCTGGCCCCATTCAAATCAGCTAATTCAGGCCAATAGAAAGCCCTAAGCGGTTCTGAGCTGCTTTTCAGTGTTGAGCCACCTTCTTTGGTATGTATGGCCAACCTACTCCCTTCCTGTGTCAGGACTTTGTACATGAAAATGAGGGCTTCATCTACTTTGCATAGAGTTTATGTAGCAAAGCAGTGCCCCAGCCTGGTTATTTACTTCTGTAAGCTGCAGGCTTTTGTAAACAATTGCTTCATCAAAGGGCCAAAGAACTGTGTGACATCGGTAGAAACAGAACCACGTTTTAGAATGATTTCCCATCAATGGCTGGGTAGGGAAACCTATCATTCAGTGGCATGTAATCATTTTTTTGCTGTATTGGATTGGAATTATGCTAGTTTTGACTAAACGTACCATTAGACATAATTTAATCTCCTTTGAACCCAAATATCTTTTGAATTTTTTATTGATCTTGCTGCTAACGCATCAATGTTTAACATTCGTGATACAAAACTTGTAATGTGATTTTATTCAGACAAAAACATGTACCGAGCTTTCAATCCTTATTCAGAGAGGTTTATTTTGTCTGGGTTTAATTTTATTATGAAAGTTAGCCAGCCTGTGGGTTCAGACAGAATGGGAATTTCTCTCCTCTGAGCAAATTCCTTTGGGAAAAGGAAACCTAGATAAAAACAAAGCGATAACTTTCTAAAACTGCCTGATAAGCAGGAGGACCCACAGCTTTTGAAATTTGCAGAGTGGGCCCCGCTTAAGATGGTAAAACTGGGTGGAAGTTTAGATTCTCCCAGGCTCCTGTTCCCAAAGAGGACTCCTGCTCTGGGTTGGTATTGCTGTAGATACAGTTCTACTCTCCAAAGTAAGCTTGTAACCTCAAAGGCAGATACTGTTGACTCCTCTTCATTACTCTAGTTTAAATGTTGCTATTTTATGAGTTAAAGTACTTGGGTTTGTTTCTTTTTTTGACCATAATCCTTGTAGGTTATATGTGGGAACTGGAAACAGAGGTCAGTACTTCTCATTTTCTGTGCACCACCAGTGGAATGGGATCTGCTTTTCAAGTGAAGCTATGGTTACCTCTGTCCCTGTTCTTACTGTCATGCTCCCAGCGGCATCTGAAGTCTCCTAACATTGAAGACAGCAGTCAGGGAACTGATTGAGGAATAGACCTGTACTAGTGTGCAGGAAGGGAAATTCCATTTTAGTCTTATGGATCCTACTGAAAAAAAAGCCAGCCCAACACAGAATAAATAGAAGTTATTAGTTATGTTATTTCATTATATTATTCAGAATAATTCTGAGTATGAACAGGGAGAAGACACGGCAATTAAGGAGAGAACACTACGCACCGTGGGTCAGAGTCCCTGGTTTGGGGAAGCAGAGAACGTATCGACGGGGTGGGAAAACTGGCAAGATGTAAGACCGGTTGCTGTTTTGGAGAAGTGGGTAACAAG